TATAGACACCGTGCAAACTGACAACTAGCGCTCTGGGGAGATAATGTACATACTAATCGATAGCAACAAATATGCGTAAATAATACATTCATGCAGTAAAACCGTTGTATTTTATTGTATGTAATTCACTACATTCAAATATTACGTCAATTTTGATTGTACCTTGTCTTAACACAATATGCACTGTTTAATTAAATCAGGACTCATCAGTCCTTTGACCCATATGTGGGTCACATTAAACCTATTTTATTAGTCCATGATCCACATGTGGTTCATTCATACATTTACCTATTTATACATTATTTATATTTGTTTCGACTACATCCTTTGAAATTCATAATAACGTTGTTGAACTGGTGAGATGATAAGCTTTCTAAAGCTTATCAATTTTCAATAGGGACTAATCAATTAACTAAACCACGAACCACATATGGATCACCAGACCCTGAACGTCTGAACTTGTTGGTATGTCGTGTTATGACTTATGGCAGACTTAAAAATTAAATGTGGTTTCCAACCAGTCACATATAATTTTATTTTTCCAAATGACAAAGGCAAAAGATTAGTAGAAAGTGGACATTTAATTAATGTCGAAGAAATAAAACCGGCTACTAATCATATTACACCTAGAATAAAAGGACTATGTATAAGGCAAACTTCTGTGTCTTATGATCCATGGACAGTTATTCTTGAAGTAAGTTAAATCAACAATAAAGTATTATATATCGACTTACAATAATTAATATGTTTATACTAGGTAGGAAGATAATGAACACATTTTTTAGACTATTTATGTTAATTTTATGACAAATTCACTGCTATAAAGTATTTGAATACATGTGTCTTAGATTTTTTTTATGTATAATGAAATGTTATCTTCTTTTCTAATATTTATTCTTTATATTATATTATTTAGATTGATGGAACTAGAAGAGTTAAAAATACATCTTGTGATTGTCCTGCTGGCGCAGGAGGAAAATGCAAACATATATGTGCATTAATTTACTATATTAATAATGAGCAACTAATTTCTAAAACAGACTTGCCCCAACAATGGGGAAAACCTTCAAAGGCTGGAGAATTGAAGTATAAGAAAGGTAGAACAATTCAAGACTTATTCCCATGTAAAAGGCAAAAACATTTTATAGATTATGTAACTCATAAAGATTTAATTTCAATGCATAACATTTTAAGTATACCATGTAGCTTAAGCACACTTTTAAAAGAAGAAAGCCTTACTGAAACAGAAAGACAGTGTAAACAAATTTTGAATTCCATCATTGATCAAGTAGAACTAGATTTTACATATTCTTTAAATAAAAATCATTTCTCACTTATATTACTTAACCAAAAAATATTGTTTATAAATAATACTCCTTCATCGAAATTTCCACTTAATTTTAATGAAAATAGTTTTTACTTTACTAATATTGCTTTATTGGCAGACAATCTTTTAAGTATTTATAATTTAACTATGAGCCAGTCTTCTTCAGAAATTTGGAAAACCTCTAGACATTTTCGTATTTCGGCTAGTATGAGGGCACATAAAATTAAAACATGTCGTAATTGGACGGACATAGGTCTCAATAAGCTTGCTAACTCTTTCCTAAGAACAACTGACTTAGGTATGAAAGGTAATATTAATGTTAAATATGGTAATTTAAATGAACCTCTAGCTTTTGAAAAATACCAAGAGTTATATGATGATATTATAGTACTTAAGGCAGGACTTATTATCCATCATAAAACACCATGGGTGTGTGCCAGCCCAGACGGTCTTATTATCAAAAATGGAAATATTGAAAGAATTCTTGAAATAAAGTGCCCTATCTCTTGTAAAAATAAACAAATTATTGAAAATGGGGTACCTAATTTAAAATATTTAGAATTTGTAAATAATAAATTAGAACTAAAAAAATCGAATGTATACTATACCCAAGTCCAGGTATTAATGTATTGTGCAGGTTTAAAATACTGTGATCTATTTATCTATAATAATATTGAGCCTGTTTTGTTAACTATTTATAGAGACGAATACTTCCTTAATTCTTTAATGCCCAAAATTGAATATTTTTACTTTAATTTTTATTTGCCAAAATTACTTATTTAAATTTTTAATTGTATCATAATATTATGTTTTATTTAACATATTTGTTAATTTTTTTAATAATATAAGTATAATTTTTACATACATAATATTATATATCAATATTATTTTAAAGATAAAATAAGAAGTTGTCATATTATACAATAATATATTATTATTATATTTATTAGATGTTGAAAAAAAAAATATGTATTAAGACTTGGTTAACCTGTGAAATATATGTTATTTATTTTTACAAATAAAGTGAAAAGGTATTTATGTTTTTAATATGTACAATATGTATCTTACTCTAAAATATTACATAATGACTAAATCTACTTATAAAATTAATATAAATATTGACTTATTGTTTAATTATTGGTATTTGTAAATTAGTTAAAGTACAACATATATGCATTATGTCATCTATGTGAGGAAGTAACTCTATTTGAATTTTATTTAAGATGTGATAAGTTTTTAATCTAGCAAAAAATCTTTCAATGTGTATTCTTACACTTGCTACAGAATAAGTTTCAATAACTTCTTCTTCGCTAAATCGACCATTGTGTAAGATTGGGGGCATAATTAATATAGAATTGCCTTCTTCACAATTTGTTTTAATACCAGGGAAGCCTTTGTCAGCTAAAACCTGATCACCAACCTCTAGCTTAGAAAGGAATCCACTATCGTTAGTAATAAATGTATCACTTGACCGACCTCCATAGCATTTTGAAAGGAAACTTATGGCACCATTAGGTGTTATAGCAACAAGACATTTAATGGTATATGAACTCTTATATCTTGAGTACATACATACTCTTTGCTCTACAGTAGGCGGCTGCTCAACTTTAATTTCCGTACAGTCTATAATACAACGACAGTTGGGATAATTTTTTTTAAAAGCATAAGGAAGAGTTGCTGAAATAGTATCTTTACTAGGCCAAAAAATAAACTGTTTAGTTTTTTTGGATAAAATAGAAAGTATATTAAAAAAGATCCTGCTGACGGTGGTACGATGAATCTTAAACATAACCCCAATAGCTGAAAAACTAACACCAAGTTTTATTTTCATTAAAAAAAGAAGAAGTTTATTGTAGTTGTTTAAAGTGCTATTAACACCTGTGTCTGGTAACATATTAACCAACATATTAAATACAGCATAAGTAGTGCCTGTCAAATCTTTCAAAGAAAGTTCACTGTTAATAGATTCATAACCATGAAATTTATCACAGGATAAACAAGAATTATAAGATTCAGAGCTGGGACCACAACATTTATCTTTAACATTTTGTTGTTGTTTAATTATAAAATTGGTTGGAGTTGTTATAGAAGTACTAATGCAGTTGTTATTCAAAAAGCAACATTCAAATGAAAAATGTTTTACGTCTGTAACATCGAAAGAGACTTGTGTTCCTACATCACAATTAGTTAATGACTTGTTAATATTGAATGATTTAAATCCACTATCAATGGGATTTGAATTAGCTTCAATAACAGGAACAGTTGATTGCCCCACGTTACTACTTCGGTGGCAAAAACGCTTGTATCTTGAGGATTGTTGAAGTTCATTATTTTTTTTTTTTTTATATGTTGTTGGAAATATAGTAGGAACATATGCTGGACTATTGGGATGCCTTAATAGTTTATTTCCAACAAAATGATCACCACATATAACTGTAAGGGCAGTCGGTATCCACGGTGTTCCATCATCACTACAGATACATACAATAGTATAAAATGTAATGAGTTGCATAAAAATAAAAATTAACATCCTCGACACTTACTTAATTCTTTTAATACTTTTGATCCACTTTTCCTTAAGCTCCTTCTCATGTTGTCTATTAGGGAAGTTAAACATTTTATGACCTGTTCTATTAGTATTGCTACAATTGACAACACAACACATCTTTTGACCACTTCTCTTTTTATTGTTACTCATTTTTTATTTAAACAATATCACTTGAAAGAATAAAATGAAACAAATAAAAATGTACGTATGATACTATTATTATGTGTAACAACGAAGAACAACAATAGTCTGAAGTCAGAACTAAGAACTAACATAATTTAATAATTACTACCCAACCTAGGTAGGTAACTAACATATTATACAATATACACATTTCATTCGCTGCTATCGATTAGTTCGTAAGTGGTCCACTACGGCGCGCGCTATTTCATGGTTTGCACGGCGTCTATAG